AAGATACTATTAGAGGAGTATAGACCTAGATTAGTATAATAGCCTATAGGATCTTAGAGGTAGATTAGAATTAGGCCTATTTTAAGAAACCTAAGCAAAAGATTAGAATTCTTCTTACCTCCCTACTAGGAAAGTTTAAGACTACTAAGAATATAATTATAGCCTAGCCTAACCTTACTAGAGACTATAAACAAGTACTCTTAATCTTAGAGTCTTAGGAATTAAGAGACATCTATTAAGGAGATATAGCTTTGTTTATAGGTAAGGGAAGGCAATCTACCTTTAGCTACTTCCTCTATAAAGGAAGCTATCCTATAAAGGAATGTCCTAGTCTCTAAGATATAAAGAAAGCTATAATATCTAAGAAGACAGGAAGAGTAACAAAGAGAGTCTCTCCTTAGAGATTTAGAAGGAGGTCTTTACTAGACAAAGATAAATTAAAAAACATAGTAAAGGAGCTCTAACTTTAACTAAAATCTGTTTAGAAGGATCTTTCTATAAAGAAGGATCTAAAAAAGAAACCCCTTAAGAAGGTATATACTATATAAGAAGTAGATACCCTAGCCTTACCCTAGTTAGACTCCCCTTCTAAAGGAGATAACTATAATAAAGTTATATACTTAACTATAGAAGTAAAAGGCAAGTACCTATCCTTAGAATAGCTACTTAATTCCTATGCTTTATCCTATATAACTAACTAAAGATCCCTCTTTAGACAACTAAGGATTCTCTAAACGAGAAAGTAGATTAAGGTTAGGGGTAGCTATCTTTAAGCTATATATAAGGGAGATATAGTTATAGGTAGGAGAAGAGGGAGACAGATTGTCCTAAAGAATATTCTTTTTGTTCCTAATCTTAGAGTTAATCTTGTTTTATAGAACTAATTTAGTAAATAGTTTAGAGTCTAACTACTAAAGTTCACCCTTATATCCTCCTCTAGGAAGCCTATTGTTTAGACAAGGCTTTAAGGGGGTGTTCTATTTATTAAGGAAATTAATAAATCTCTTTAGGAAAAGGCATTTGTTTTATTTATTTTAGAGGAAGAAGAATTTAGACTTACTATAAAGGAGTTACAAAATTAGTAGGAGCTATAGTATAGAAGGTTTAGCTACTTTAGAAAGGATCTACTTAAGAACATACATAAGGTGTTAGACTTAAGCGAACCTATCTAGGTCCTAGAAGCTAGAGAAGAAAAGTATAGAGTCTACACCCTTATAAAGATAAAGAAGCATAAAGGCAAGATTATAGTAAGGAAACCTTAAGTTCTACAATTGGTTTCACTTAATATCTATAGTCCCTTACCTATATTAAGGCTTAGATTTAGGTACTAGCTTAAGCTTATTAACAATTTCTTAAGGAAGAAATAGGGTATCCCCTTAATTTTAAGAGAAGATACTCTAGCAGCCCTAAAAGCCTAGAAGATTAAAGTAGAAAGACAATTATCTATGCTTCTAAGGGCAATAAGATCAGACAATATAAGGGAACTTACTAGCTTACTAAAACAGTAGGAAAAGGATCTAGGGATTAAGTTTAAGACAATAGAAGCCTATAACTCTATCTAAAATAGAGTTACTAAAAGATTAATCTAGACTTTAGAAGAATTAATTAGAGCAATAATTAAGGAATTAGGAATGCTAATTAAGTTCTAGCCTAAGGTATTAGATACCTAATACTATGTTAGGAACAGACTTCCTAATAGGCCTAAGATTAAGGGATTTAAGGTTTCTCTAGAGGAAGCCTTTACTAGGTTGAAACCTAGTATATCCTATCTTCGAGTCTAGGGCTATTAAGCTGTTATCTATATAGATCCTAGAGCCCAACCTACCTAGGTAAGAAGTAACAAGCTAATAAATAGGGGAAAAGATACTATCTTTGTTAGATATATAGAAAATATAGCTAAAGCCTAGCTCTTCTAGGAGCTAGATATAAAGGCTATTAAGTAACATTCTAATATAGTTTTCTTTAAAGAGAAGAAGGGGGGTAATATAGATCTACAATTCCAGACTAAATATCTCTCTTTAAATGCACTATAGAGAAAGCCACTTAGGAGACTACTACTTACAAAGCTAGTAGATCAGCCTGTTTAGAAGGAGGCACCTACTATATTTGTTTAACTTCCTCCTCCCCTAAAAGATTTAGGGGACTTTTAGAAAATATAGGACTAACCTAAGGACACAGTTCAAACACCTAAACCTATCCTAAGGAAGAGAAAAGCTATAGGAGATATAGATAGATTTAATACTAAGTTAAAAGTACTAAAGGTAGTTAAAGACACCTATAGTTAAAAGAGGACAAGGGAGGATAATCCTAAGGAGGAAATAGATAAGCTAGAGGCAAAGAGGCTTCTCTAAGCACTAGCTATATTACTAGAATTCTTTCTAGAGGAGACATATAAAGTTGCCTTCTCTATATTTGCCCCTAAAGTTACTCTCTCTATATTTGCCCTAGATCTTATTTAGTAAGATATCCTAATCCCAAAATCCTATAAGGAAGTAGTAGAAGACAAGGAATAGGGAGCAATATAGAAGGAAGCAATTCAAAAGGAGTTAAATGCCCTTATAAGTAATAATACCTAGAAGGTAACAGTTCTACTAAAAGGATCAAACCTTATTATATTAAAATAGGTATTTATAGTTAAGAGGCTAGTTAGTAGAGCTTTAGACAAGCTAAAAGCTAGATTAGTAGCAAGAGGGTTTTCTTAGAAGTACGGGGTAGACTTTAAGGAGACCTTTACTCTAATAGTTAGATATAAGACCTTAAGGACCTTCTTAGTAGTAGTCTATAAGAAGGACTTAGAACTTCACCTTATAGATATAGACAGTACATTCACAAATAGCTACCTATAGGAAGACATCTATATAGCCCTACTAGAGGGAGTAGATCTCTACCCTAGCTAAGTTCTAAAGATCCTAAGAAGCCTCTATAGTCTAAAGTAGGCTATAAGGGACTGGAATTAGCTGTATATATTAAAGTTAAAGGAGCTTGGATTTATACAGTTAGATATAGACCTATACCTAATATATTACTACGAGAAGGAAGTAATAATTATAATATATATAGATAATATCCCTATTACTATACTAAGCATAGCCTTAGTTAACTAGTTTAAGAAGAGTTTTAGTAAGATGTTTAAGATTAAAGACCTTAGTAAACCTATAAGGATTCTAGGAATAAACATTATAAGAGACAGGAAAGCTAGAACTCTAAAACTAGACTAGAGCTACTATATCTAGGAAAGCCTCTAGAAGCTTAGGATTAATGCTAAGGCATCTAAACTAACCCTTTTACCTTTAGACAATTACGAAGGTCTTAAGAAGTTAGCCCCTTAGGACCTAAGGTGCAATAAGGAGGACTACTAGAGCATAATAGGAACCTAGATATAGCTAATAATTATAATAAGGCTAGATATTATATTTGTAATTAGGAGGTTGAGTTCATTCTTAAGTGATCTATCTAAAGAACATATAAGAGTATTAAAGAAGGTCTTAAGATACCTTAGATTAAGTCCTAACCTTAGACTCTAATTCTTAAGGGATAGATCTAGATGCCTTATTAGGTATTTAGACTTAGACTTTATAATAGACAAGGTTAACAGGATCTTAATCCTTAGAAATGTGTTTATACTATACAATGCCCCTAGCCCCCTATCTTATAGATAAGTAAGAAATAGAAGTTAGTAGCAACCTCTATAATAGAAGCTAAATTTATAGTAATAAATACCTATACAAAACAGTCTCAATTCCTCTTAGTACTTCTAAGAGAGATAAGATGTCCTAAACTTATTAGCTAGAAACCCTTCTAGCTAATAGTCTAGGCAAGGAAGGAAACTACTTAGGAATTCAGACTAGTTTAGCTCTTTAGGGACAACTAGGCGAGCCTAACCCTTATAAAGGATGCCTATGTCTATAAGAGATCTAAGTACATTAATATTACCTATAACTATGTTAGAGACCTATAGTAGAAAAGAAAGATCTATATTAAGTACCTCCTAACAAAGGAAATAGTAGTAGATAGATTAATAAAACTATTAACTAGACCAAACTTCTAGTACTTTATAAACTAACTAGGAATCTAGTAGGAAAGGCAAAAAGGGTCTTACTAGATTAGACATTCCTGTTTAGAATAGCTAATCTAGCGAGATACACTAAGGCTAGGAATTAAACTATAGGTAGTAATTCTACTACTATACTATCTAACCTAAGGTAAGAGAAGGGAAATCCTCTATAACTATAGAGGTAAGTTCTAGGATAAAAAGGGAAGATGTATAGGCCTTTAGTCCTAAGTAGGAGTGTTAGAAAGTGTAGTCCTTAGCGGCTATACTAGATAGGGCTAGTTATATAATTTAGTTATATAACCTATAGCTAGGAACTCTAAGTTTAGGAGGATTATACATCGCTCTAGATAATTAACTTAATTAATATATTGGTTCCTACTACCTACCTACCTTATAGACACCTTCCGCTATAGCTATACCTATATAAAACTATTATTAGGACACCCTTTTAGGGACTTAGTAGAACACTTCTTATAGATCTCTTCTCTATAGATCTCTTCTCTACTAGGCCTCTTAAAAATATATCTACTTTTAGGCCGGCTTCGTAAGCTTATTCTCTCTTAGAAGAGATATATACTAGTTATAAGTAAATTTTAATATAAAGCGTATTAAATTTTATTAAGCCTTAATAAAGATTTAGTAGTAGAGGGCCTAGCAAATCCTAGAATCCTGAAATCCTAGAATCCTAAGTGAATGTCCGTTATATAGATCCGGAGCTCCCTCCTAAATGATGTCACCTCCACCTGTAGGAGAAACCGGCTTCTTGGAGTGGGGCGACGTTAATGTCGAGCCATCGCATCCAACACAATACCCTCGTGCCTGGGCCCTGTATGCGTTACGCAGTTTGCTAATAATATTAGTAGACAGGCTCGCACAAGGTTGTAAAAACTTCGATACTGCCTCCTGCTACACTCGGACTTCTTCCAACACCAACCACGGTATTAACATGGCGACTACCGGCAGTAACAAAGCCGACAAGAATTCGAAATGGACTGCGAAGGCGAATTCTTGGTTTCAGAAAGTCGGTGTCCCTGTGAACAAACTGTCCAACAAACTTGGAGCGGAGGCCTTCTGGCCGACGTCTCTCGACAAGGAAGCAGACAAGGTAAGTGATCCCTGCCAGTAGACAGACCCAAGATAAAAGAGGCCTAAAAATGTATCTGCCTAGGCCGCCCGCATCCTCCGCAGCTTCTGCATCGATGGCTTCTACTCCGAGCAAGGCGGCGGCAAACATGGCAACGACAAGAAGCACAAGTCTCTCGACCACATCCCCCCGGAAATCATCCGCAACGCCAAAGGCCTGGCCATCTTCACCGTCATGCGTGCCGGGCTGCACTGGTCCGGTGCGGGGGGCTCGGGGATCATTGTCGAGAAAATGGCCAATGGTCAGTGGTCTCCGCCTTCTGGCATCTTAATCCACACCCTCGGCTGGGGCTTCGTGGCCGGTGCGGATATCTACGACTGCGTGGCTGTCATCAACAACGACAAGGGCATGGAAGGCTTCACGCGCGTGCGAGCCACGATCGGAGGCGAGGTCTCCGCCGCCGTAGGACCCCTCGGGGCGGGCAGTACTCTCGACTCGGAGATTTTCAAGCGCCAGGCACCCGTCTGGACCTACACCAAGAGCCGAGGACTGTACGTCGGCGTGCAAGTCGACGGGACCGTCATTGTCGAGAGGACGAGCGAGAATGAACGCTTCTATCACCAGGAAAACGTTAGGCATGCGCAGATCTTGGCCGGGCAGGTTTCTGTTCCTTCGGGAAGCATGGTCCAGCTGTGGGAGACTCTGCAGGCTGCGGAGGGTCACGAACATAACGCTAGCAATCTGCCGCCGCCCTATGAGCCTGCTCCCGGTGATCGGGAAGTCGAACACCCGCAGGAAAGCAGTGAGAAGGAATATAACGAATTCGCTCCGGCGGAGGAACATATGGCACATTCGAAGTCGTAGATCACATGTTAAGGGGATCAATCCCTGCACGACCCTTAGTAGCTCTAACTCAGAGCTGGGAGAATCAACTCATATGAATGCATTTTTTCTGCAACACAACAATCAATTGCAAAAACAAAAAAAGGTTCCGTGGTGTAGTGGTATAGCACGCCTAGCACATGTGTGGCTTGCTGGTAGGTCGTCTGCGTCGGTAGGTGAACTGGTAGTAAGCCGTACGTAGCAGCTTCGCTGCTGTGATTGGGAGACTCACGTTCGAATCGTGATGGAGCTATTTGTTTTGCATATCGAATTGTCCTTTTTGATATTCAATTTTTTGACGTTACGTCTGACTCTAGGAGCATGTGAAACAGGGGAGAGTACTTAAGATACAGGAGTTAAACGTCAATCGTTTTGATGGATTTTCATGTAGAATGACCTTATCTGAGGCTTCGAGTCTTGATTCTCCGTACGTGGATCATTGATTGCGTATCTCGGTATAACTACTTAGAGAACTAGACTGGAAGGTCATAGCGTTCGTGTACCCGACGAAGCTCCTATCTCGCGCCTTCTGATATAGAGTCGAGTAGGGCAATAGCCGCTCTGCCTATCACGCTTCTTTAATATCCACCTTGTCATTAGCTGTTAAGCTGATTTGCTGCACTTCGCTAGCTGGAGTAGCGGAACCCGAGTCCGGCAAGCTCAAATCATCCGAGTCGGAATCCTCTCCATTCAGGCGATCATTGATCAGATGTGAAGCCCAGCTCGTCGCAGGCGCCGAGATAAAGAAGACCACAACAGTGACGATGAGGTTGGTCATGAGGCTGGCTTTCGATGCGCCCACGCCGTAAGCGCAAGCTTGTCCGAGCGATTCACACGATCTCAAGACTCCCATTGACAGCGAGATGGTATCGACCTCGGAGTCGAAAGTGCCCAGCGCCCAGTACAGCCAGACTCCGATGACTTCGTATGCGATGCGGAAGAGGACGTACAGCGCCATGCCCTGGCTGAATAGTCGGGAGTTCCAGTCGATGTCACCTGGAGGACTGCTGTCCCAGCGGGCTTGGAGAATCAGGTTCCAGATCCAGATGGCGGTGAATAGAGCTAGGAGAGAGTACCAGGTGGACTTTGCCTGTGTGCTGCGCCTGATAAGCTTCGTGTCCAACAACCACCCGCTCAAGATGTTGACAATGGCTCCTACAACAGCGACGACGAAACCAGAGAGCGTGCGTGCGCGGACGGAGTAGTATTCGGTCAGCCAGTTGCCGTAGTACGCCGAACCCCATTGTGCAGATACGAAGGCTGGAATCAGCAGCACCACTTCTTTGCGTTTCAACTGCGCCAGGAATAAGAGCAACTGTGATTTGAAGCCGCCGTTCCGATTGGCGAAGACGGGCTTCTTGCCGTCCTTTCGAACGAGCTTCTCGGGTGGGGAGATGAGGAAGGATAGGGGAAGTCCAAGACACTGGATAGCGACGAGCACGAGATATGTCCTCGGTGCAATGGCTCCTGTTGTATCGCCGTCCTTGTTGATGGCGAGTTGAATGGCTGTCCCGATAATGGAGCCGAGCTTCGAAAGGGCGAGCCAGATTGCGACTGTCGCAGCGTCAGTACGAAACAAATGCCAACAACTTGGAGCAATTGGACTCACTGCACAGCCCTCTCCTTCGCACCTCGGGATACCCAACAGCGATGGTGGCCTCAGCCGGCCATAGAGCAGCAGCCGAAAAGCCGCAGGTTACTCCTCCGAAGATCAGAAACCACTGCGTTCCCCACATGGAATTGCAGTACAGCGCAGCAGAGTATGGGACGTAACCCAAGCAGCCGAAGATGAGGACCCATCGCATGCCAATGATGTTGCCGATTATACTGGCCAGCGGCGAGAAGACGAACATCACGGCGAAAGTGATGACATTGACAGCGTTGACAACGTATGGCTTAGCCTGCCCTCCGGCTCCAAGATTGTTCATGGCCGTCCATATTCCCGGTTGCGTGAAGCTGATGAGACCGAGAATGATGGCCTGGCAGATCGTTCCGCGGTAGAAGTCGTGGAGGGATTGATAGAATGTGCTTCGGTTCGACATGGCTCCAACTTCGAATGCTTCTCATGGCAGACGAATTCCTGCTGGGCTGAATTGCTGTCCATTTTGTTGTTCCTCATAGTGTGGAGTCAACGCGTTCTGGCCGGAAAAGCTCGAATGGCATCAGAGTCCCTGCTGGCTCCATCTGCGCAGCACGACATCCGGGTTGACGTCGGAGATGCTTTACAGGGGAGTCGGCGACATCTCATCAATGTCGAAAAGCAAGTCAACGACACGCGGCGATAGGTGACGTTCAGCGTTGTATTCTTCTGGTAGATCCTCCGCAGTAGTAATTGATTCCTCCGATTTGTCCGAGCGAAGTCGACAACTTAGTGGCTCTTACGTCGTAGTGAGCACCTGGCGGAACGGTGCATCGACAAGCAGTAATTGGCACAGCTCTCGATAGGCAAACGAAGAAGAGAGCTGAGGACTCCCAATGTCTACACTTCCGCTCTCATCTCATGCGCCGTATCGCTTGGTATCGTGACCAATGACATTGTTCCTGTGAACCCTGGCGGTATTATCTCTTAAGGCAGTGCTTACTCTTGATTGACGCAGCGGCGGCAACGTCAGCGTGGCCTCTATTCGATAACCAGTGGGCCGGGCCAGGCATATATAGAGCGTCGACGACCAAAGACAAGCATTAAGCTTTGACATTAATTTCAGCTGTTGACACGAGACGGCAGGTCCGGTGTGATGCCTTCAATAATGCTTTCAACGATTACTCTCAGCCTTTGAGTTCAAAACGTTGAGGCTGGAATATTAGTCACATACTGACTCAGCAAGCGACGGATAACCGACGTCTTCTCGTTCAAATCTTTCTCTCCCAGACCTCAACGGCTTCCGTCACATACTTCACTGCTTTCATCCGGAATCATGATGTAAACGAAAGGGAACGATTCTCTTCACATTTGTGTCGCATGATAGCGAAGATAGAGCGACAATGGCCAACTTATACGGCTATTAATAGACCGCCGACGGACCTGTCGCCGAGGAGGTAGCCTGCAGGCGTCCAGCATTCTGCCCTCTAGACCAATGTCTACACAATCGATGTCTAGGAAGCCCGACCGTCTTTTGATAGGAACTGGACAAATTCGCGCTGAAATGTGGTTCTTGCATATGAGAAATTCAGCCATCTTGCAGGCGTCAGCGGTAGGTAAAACCATCACAAGACGTTGCACTTACTGCATCTACGCAATGACCGCAGTTGTTCAGCACATAGTTGTGCTTGTTCGCGAGAATTGGTGGAAAGAGGTTGTGGCTAGTGGCCCGTCAGCATCGCGAGGTACACTACAGGGTAGGAGACTCACCTTGCTAGTCCACCATGCGAACAATTCGCGAAGCCACCTAGGAAGACCAACCGTGTACAGTCTTGTCAGGACTTCCGAGGAGAGTCGAACGCAAGGCTGAACATACTTCCCGGACTCGTGCGGCACAGTACGCGAATTGATCCCACAAAAATCCCGCTTACGCAATGCCGTTAGTAGTGGTGTTTCAACTGGCGCCCAGCACAATCATCCCGCAAACATTGACCTGACTTCTTTAAGGCCACTGTTCAGCGCTGTCACTACTCTCGTCTCCATCATGGCAGCCTTTGAAGCTGTGGGCGCGGGCCTTAACGCCGTCACTCTCCTTCTTCTCGGTCTTGCACCGAACAAGAAGAAACCGGAAGACAATTTCAAGAGCAAGCGTCCGTTCGAAGCAATGTCACGATCTTCAAATTGGCTCTTGTTCTAACACAGAGCATGCAGAGGACGTGACTCTCGCCTTGCGGAATCGATGTCTTGAAGGCTCCCATCCACGGCTCGTCGTCTCTTTGCGAACTATTCTCTTGCAGCGAAGTATGGGAGTTGGTGCCAATTCCCGTAAGTATTCAACCTTCTCTCTTTGCACTATACTAATAGCTAGAAGATTGTACATACGGATCATTCGCCAATCTTCTCTCGACAAAGAACAATGCAATCGCACACACAGAAGAAGCCGGCCGTTTGCTCTGGCGCCTGCTTAAGGCATTTTCGACTTTTCCCTTTCCTCCGGATCATGAGGATAACGAGATATCCTGCGATAGACTTGTCATGGCATTCGTCGTCGCCCGACGAGGACGTAGTGTACTGGAGCACCCGGATTATCTAGTCCGACGGGAACGATAGCCTAACGGGGCACGTGCTAATAGGCGCACCAGAGGATCCCGAGAGCAGCTTAGACTGATTTTCCAAGCTCTAGTAACAGTTTCTCCAGAGAACGAGGATGAGAATGGATTTTCTGACGTCGAAAACAATGAAGACCTTATTAATACCATGGCTTGCTGCATAGACGTTAAAGATGGCAAGTTCGTCTACTATGCCGAGGACTTCTTGCCGGCCGTTCGGAACCTTCCATCGTCTTGTTCGAGAAGGAAGCTGGATTGGCAGTTAACTACTAAGGACTGGAACACGCTGATGCGATTCGTGGCCCCATATTAGCAAGCAAAGATCGTTCGCGAGAAGCAGGAGGTGCGAGAAAACATGGACTAGGAGAAATTTCTAAACAAAGCTAGGACGGAATCGGTAAGTCGCTACAAGAATCTACGGGAGACTACGCTAATCTCGTACCAAAGCCCGATCTTTATCGGATCCTAAGCTTATATATTACACATGTCTTAGGAAGTAGATTGCCTAGCTAGGAGGACGTTTCTTTCGACTTTAACCGGAGACTACTATAGCTGTCTCTATTCGAACTAGCTAAGTAAAACTAAGTAGAAACTAAGGCTTCTAGAAGGAAACTAAGTAAAACTAAGTAGAAAATAAGTAAAACTAAGGCTTCTAGAAGGAAACTAAGTAGAAACTAAGGCTTCTTAGTAGAAACTAAGTAAAACTAAGCGGAAACTAAGGCTTCTAAAAGGAAACTAAGCGGAAACTAAGGCTTCTAAGTAAAAACTAAGTAGAACTAAGCTAAAACTAAGGCTCCTAGAAGGAAACTAAGCTAAAACTACGACTTCTAAGCGAAAACTAAGCGGAAACTAAGGCTTCTAAGCAA